TGCTCACAGATCCCTATCAGAGAGGGAACCGGTGCTAAATAAGGATGTCCAGGGATGTGCATGTATTAATTCAGCCCAGACAGTTGTGCAGCCATTGGCCTTCACACCACATTCCTAATAGACAGCACATCTTCATTGCTAATATATTCATATTCATAATTTTATTTATTAAGACTTTTGTCAGTTAAATGCTGAGGTTCAAAGGATAATAAAAGCTGATCCTTACAATGCCTTTATCACTTGCTGGCTTATTGCTTATCCACATAAGATTTGCTTTGTTGTGAGAAAAACAACAAGAACAAAAAGAAGCTATTTATGTTCTCTAAGTCATCCTAGTCATCCTTAGTTAAAAGGGCTGCCTGCCTTCGTCTCTTTGTTAGGATACTTGACAATAACTCACAGATCTTTGAGGGCAATAAGCAAGCTTCCAAATGCTGCCTGGAATAGTGATGGATACCATAATTTTTAAAAGCAGAGTACTGTGGCACTAGTCCCTTAGGCAGAGTCTGAGCTACTCACTGTGGGTTGCCCTGCTGCCCAGCCAGATCAGAATTGTCACAATTGTCTCCTATCCTTAAGGTGGGACGAAAGCTTCCTTTGTGAGCAATGAGCATCAAACCACCATTTAAAAAAAGTTAAATGTGTGGTAAGCCCAGCCCTTAATGTGTATTCAGATCATTGAGTCATATTATAGAATTACAAAAGACTATCAGGAAAGGGCACTTCACATACCAAAATAGACATTTTTATAAAGTTCAATTTGGCAATTCCAAACCACATTTAATTTTCTCTGAGAATTCCCACATGACAGGAAGATATTAGTCTTTGTGGCTTTCAAGTCTCTTCCAGGGAACTACAAAATGGCAATCTTTTGGAATTAGCATTTTTCCCATAGACAGACACTAAATTACTAATATAAATAAAGTCACATGCATGCTTATTAAAATAAACAACTAAAATAATAAGTTTCCTATATTGTTATTCTGAGATTCATGTGAATCATAAGTCCACATTATCATTTAGTATGGAAACACTTGCAGTGCTTGAACTTCACAGATAGGTGGGGCTAGCAATTTCTGTTTTAATTATAATATTTTAGCATATTAAAATCTGTATCTAGATGAAGCAGCTACTTCAAAGCTTCAAAACTGATGAAACTGCATCGCTCTCTTTTAAGGGATAATATGCTACTAAAACACCCCCTGCTGATTTCACAGGCTTTTGCAGGGAGTTATGCATAATTTTTTTGAAATTCAAAGGCTTAAGATCAGATATTTATGATGCTAAAAACTAGATTTCAAGAATTATTAAAACCTTGGAAGACTTTCCTAAGACAGATTTTTTTAAGTTCACTCAATAATTATTTAATGCAAGGTTAATAAAAAAACAGTAAAATCAAAAGATTTGAATTCTAGACTCAGCTCCGGTGCTTACTAGCAAGCAGGCAATGACTGGGTGTCTCTGTGGAACTTCAACAAAGGATTTAAATGAGAAGCGAATGAATGTGGCCTGGGACACAGTTTTATAAATGGGACATAACCTCACAAATGAAGATTATTGAAGATGGCATGGTGAAGTGCCTAGTCATATCTAGGGACAAATTCTCAGGAATCTAAAATGCTGGTTGTGACCATATGAATTTTTTAAGGTTGATATCAACTATTTTTAAAAGTTCATGTGAGAACATCCTGGGTCATCTAAACACCCTTATTATTGACACACAGCCTGTGTATTTCTGACAGCCTTAGTGCCAAATGATTCAACTTCAGTTGTTTCTCAAGCTAATAAAAACAGAAACGGACACAATATGTGCCTCTCCTGTTTTCCCAAGTGATAAAGAAACAGATTTTGAGCAGATTTATTTTAATCCAGCAAACTTATGAGAACTTTCTATTATGTATGATATACTATAGTACGAATGCGTTGAACAGGAAAGAAAAGCATCCATATAACATAAAAAAGTAGTGACTTTTCCGTCATCCTTCATTATAAAATAATAAACAGTATGCAGTTACTTTGCAGGTTTGCATGTGTTTGTTTTGTGTTTTAAAGTAGTCATATAAAAACTGAAGATTTAAGTCTATAGCTAGATTCATATTTCTATATATTTGAATAACATAAAATGAACATGTTAGTTAACTGAAAATAATGTCAGTTGACACAGTACTTGAGGAGTGTGGCTACGAAACTTGGAACAGGCAGAAATTTTCCAGATACATTGTTGTGTGGCTCTGGGTAGGTCAAAAGACTGTATTTGCCAGTAGTTCTTCACAGTTAGACAGGGATGATAATCTCATTGCCACAGGAACACAGAAGAAAAAAAAAAGATTATACTGAATGGATGCCTTCTAGGTATAGCGAATAATGGAGAATAAGAGCTCTGAATCAAATATTCATATTTTTCATGCCACTCTGGGCAACTCTGACCACTTCCTTGTTTTCTAAAGCAAAGAGGTATTGTCAATCATCCTGTTGTTCCTGCTAAGCTAGCAACAGTGAAAGTGGGTGCATGGGCTTTTCTCTTCATCATCAGGCCCATAGTGGTTTGGTTTCCCATTAGCTTTGTATTTTTTTTAAGTAACTACCAGAAACATAAACAATGTGTGATTCAGTTATAACCCATGCAGCAACTTGCAAGTGAAAGCAGAGCCAAGAAAGTAAAATTCTCCCACTTAAGAAAAAATTTTAACCATTTCCAGTTCTTTCTTGTCTCCTCGGATGTCAGAGGAGGACAGAACTCTAATTTGTCTTCTCTCTGTACTTGGAAGGAAGTACCAAATGGACTTCCATGCCTAAGCAAGCCTTCTATTTCCACTTCAAAGTGTGGGGAAGCTGCTGAGCCACCCTAACTCTCACCTTTAACATAATAAATCATATAAATCATAATAAAATCTATCCATTTGCTGTATTGTAACAATTAGTGAGAGAATAATTCTAAAGCATTTAGCTGTGAAGCCTGGCACTTGTCTTGAGTTGAGCTTTTTTAGTATAATCCCTTTATGCTTCACTTTCCAAATACTGCTCTGAAGGGGAGAGTTCAAAGCTTGCAGAACAAAAGGGCCTTAAATAGTCTTCAAAGGCTAAATACAGAGTGGCCCTGATGATGGCATTGCTTAAAAATGACAGCCACCATACATTTAAACTACAGCTGGGATCCATGATCTTCTAGCTTTGTAAATTTACATGGCCTCACCAAGCTTTCTTGAACCTGCCTTAAACTGGTTAGTAATATGTTTTACAAAACTACTTGCTATTGAGGGATTTTAAAAAGGAAGGTGAAACAAGACTGATGAATAATATCAAAAAAAACAACATATCTCAAAGTTTAAAGTGCTGAGGGCAAAAGACAAAATTATAGGGAATTTAAAGATCCAGAATGGCTTCCATGCACAATTCTAAAACTAGGCAGGCCTTGGAATACTTTCAAAGAACCCTGACCAGAAAGTGGTCAGGCATTGTTTATGGCAAGAAAAGGGAAATGATCTGGAGACAGTCTAGTAGATTATTAGCTAGGTGTTTCGATTTACTTGAGTCAACTGCTCTCCTACTCTTGATTAAAGCTGGAGCGCTATTATCTCGCTCAGCTCTTTGTCCAAAAGTCTAATTCCTAAATTCGGTTTTCAGCTGGCTTATTAATTCAAAGAGCCTATAGTTTTCTAAGTTCTGAGGCATGCTATGGCTGGATGTAAATTAACATCTTCAGGGAAATATGCCAAACTCAGACAAGAATAACGGATGCTTTTCTCTCTCTCTCTCTCTCTCTCTCTCTCTCTCTCTCTCTCTCTCTCTCTCTCTCTCTCTCTCTCTCCTACATATAGGAGCCGGCAACAGTTGGAAGTAAAAGACCTATTAGATGTGAGGAACAAGAAAATGGAGAGGGGAACAATTGATGATAATAGAGGGAGAAAAATATGATCACGGTATGTTATGTGCATATATGGGAAAAGTTACAAACAAGCCCATAACTTTGTAAAATTAATATCCACTAATTTTTTTCAGGTGAGGTTTCTCCTCAGCTGGATACATCTTGATGGGCCAGAAAAGTCGGAATACTAGTGACTGGCCCTCTCCACAAACCCGGATGAGATCCGGCAAACCCCGTGAAACTCCTTCAGCTGCCAAACCATTGCTATGGTAATTGGCAGCAGCCGACAGCCAGCTGGCCTTATGCACAGGTGACCGCTTTCATGTGGCGCTCACAATTTTGAGCGACTTAACAGAAGAAAACCCTGAAGCTGAGAGAAGTGGGAGACGCGAGCAAATAAAAATACCTAGCCTGTGAGAAAAGAAAAAACACTGCTAACAGAAAAAAACAAATCGCCATCTTTCCCGCTACTAAGCAAAAGTCTAGCCTTTGAAATGCCTACGGAACCTCCCAGAGGCGGAGCTACTACAAGCCCCGCCTCCGCCCCGACACGCCCCGACCCCGCCCCTCTCCGCACCCCGCCCCCACCCCTCTCCTCCTGACAGTCACATGCAGTAC